GATCAAAGACCTGAATATAAAGCCTAAAACTATAAAGTTCATAGAAGAAAAAATAGGACCAACACTTCAGGCCTTAATACACAGCATTAACAGGATATAAACCATAACCATCAATGCACAAACCCCAAAAGATAAGCTAGATAACTGGGATCTTCTAAAAATCAAACACCTTTGCTCTTCAAAAGACTTCACCAAAAAAGTAAAAAGAGAACCTACAGACTGGGAAAAAATTTTGGGACAGTACAAGTCAGACAAAGGTCTGATCTCCATAATCTGCAAGAAAATCGAACACCTCTGCAACAAAAAGACAAATAATCCTATTAAAAATGGGCAAAGGAAATGAACAGACACTTCACCAAAGAAGACATCCAAATGGCCAACAGATACATGAGGAAATGCTCGTGATCACTAGCCATTAGAGAAATGCAAATTAAAACCACAATGAGATACCATCTCACCCCAGTAAGTCTCTTAGCATTTACCAATGGGCTCTTTGTGCATGTTGGGGCATATTTTCAGTGCTATAGTAGGTAGTTTACAACTCTGCCTTAGCCTGCTTGTGCAAAGCCTTGAAGTCAGAGAGGTGAGCTATTAGGTCCTTCTTAGTTCTTCTGGGCGTGTACACAGCCTTGCACATTTGTATGGTCTTCTAGATTCCCAGAAATACATAAGAGCTTTTCAAAACTCCCTGTAGATATCCGTGGCACCCCTAGGGTTGGTGTCCCCCAGTTCAGGAACTCACGGTGTCACCCCCCACCCCCATGGGCCTCCTCCGTATAAGACCATACAGAATCCTCAGTAATTTTTTTGTACTAATATTGCTCGTAAATCATAATTTCCATATATCACTCCTTATTTTCCTTTCATTACTACTTCATTCTCAAAGTTATTGCTATACATTCACAAATACGACTTACCACAATATTATAGCTAAAACACCAGAAAGTTTGACAAAATCAATGACTATAAATTATAAACACCAGCAGCACCGAAAACAAAAGCATGTGCTTGTAGCATGTGCAGACGAAACCACATCATTCGAAACGTCGTTGTAATTGGGTAATAATGACAGCTCTGACCGGAGCACATAGG